CTGCTGAGCTAAACCGCTTTCTTCTTCAAACATGTAACAGCTTTTCACATTTCTGGGGAAGGGGTTCAGTCTGATCTAATGAATGGAGGTGAGAATGGAAACACAGGTGGATTATCGTTGAGCGATACATTTGCTTTAGCAATGCGTTTCTTGTAGTAATAGGCATACGGATCTAAATCCATGGCAAGATGCTGGGCTCCCACTAAAACAGAGCTGGGTGCCTAAATTTCTGCTATAGATACCGTTGGCTAATTTGTGTTGGAGGGACATACATGCTTCTTCTAAGGATCCGGTCCTTGCAGACCTTAAATTCCCTTCCATAGGGAACTGGAGGTGTGGAAGGATCAGTCTGCTTAGGTGTTTCATTAGCCTGGAGGGAGTTAATGGAGGGAGACGGGCTTCTGTACAGTGAGTCACTGTGTCCTCAAATAGGTGTCTGAGAGAGGTAGGAGGAATCCTTCCCTGGAACTGCTTGTCTGCCTTCATTGATCATTAAGGGAGGCTTGATGGGGGAGTTTAGATTAATCATCTAAAATTATCTATCTAAAACTAAGAAACTTGTCTAAAGCTACTCATTTAGCCTCCTTCAGTACTACTGGGAAAAGGTGGAAACGCTCCAGTAACAATGGCTATGGCTTCAGTTGTGTGAACTTGCAGATGGACTTTGACATCTAGATTTTGGTTCCTTGGGATTAGGTGACATGAACCCCACCTTTAGGCAAATGTGCTACCCATGCTGAAAGGGAGAAATTTCTCTTTAATTTGGAGGAATACTTGCAACAGCAGAAAGCAAGGATCCTCAGTTATTAGTGTTCTGTTATTCTTCAAGTGTTAGTGGTAATTAAATGCTCTATCAGTTTAGCATAGAGCTAATAAATTCATTTTCAGTTTTCTCAAGATAATACTAATTACGTAGGGATTATAAACAAAATAAATTAATATGGTTGTATTGCCACATACAGAATACCTATGAGTAAATACATATATTGATATACATTTGTAGCAAGTACTGTTCTGTGTAAGGCTATGCAGTTAAATACAGTCAGATAAATACAATCCAATACACAGAGGAGCATTCAAGCATTACTCCAATGTCTTAAAAACAATCTTGGAAAGATATTCCTCTAAATGACTGTAAGGCAATCAGCATCTCAGCTTCTCTTGTTCCATAGGTAATCGAGTTAGGAAGAGAAAACAAACAGCAAAAATGTCCTCTAGGTAGTCATTTTCCCCCAAAAAGACTCCTGAAATAATCTATTTAACTGGCTGAAGAGAAAGATTGGAAATAGGTCTTTACCTTTAGGGGTGAAAGCTTCTGGGGTCAAGACTGTGTCAGAACTTGTAAACTGAGGGCAGGACTTTCTAGATAACTAAATACATTGCTGGTGACTGCGGTCATGTCATTGCTGTGGTGACTTCATGCTTTACAGTCAATCAAAATCAAGAGTTGTAAACGTGGCTTGGATATGGTGGAAACAAAGTGGATGCTCATCTATATTTACATGCACATGTCAGCGGTGGACTCCTTTGCTGCATAAGAAATCTTTGGTTATTTTTTATAGTTTCTTGTAGCTTTCTGACAGAACATAATACCACATATATCACATTATAAATATCCCAGAATTACTTGTAGGCCATGGTTGGTAGGAAGATCCTTACTGGGGTGATTGTGAATGCCGTTGTACTGAAATGGACACGAGATTACGCAGCTCGAGGTTGGTCCCGGCTCCCTTCAAAGCACGTGTGAACATTGGCCCTGACTTCAGTGACCTGTGCTGCCCAGTCTCCAAGCTTTCTAATTAGCACTTGGCTTTTCCAGAAAGGTGTTAAGCAGATGGAAAGAGATGGACCTAATGGAAGATTTTGATGAGATATATTCAACAGTCTGAGAAGACTATGAAAAAGGTGGAGGATTTCTTTGTCGTCTTCAGTTATACGACCTGTGTTCAGCATTTTTCATGAGCCTCCTTCCATCCCATAAACCTTTCCCATTCCTCAAAATTTCAGTTGAAAAAAATGTATGCATTTCAGAGCATATCCTGGTTCTCCAGACTGTGTCTTTGGCCAACTCACTGGCCAACTTTCAGGACTGACTGAACACTTTATTCCATAGTTAAAATTGGGCAGGGGATGCAGAATTTTTGAATGTCTTTGCTGTGCCTTTCTGAACCCTAAAATACCAGATGAGTTTTAATCCTCCAAGCTGGGAGTCAGTGTGACGTGAACGGCAGACAACGCTGGTTTTGTATACAGGAATTCTAAAATATTCAGGTATCAGAGTCATATCAGAAAAAACTGAACAGGGGAAGCAGAGACAGGGAGAACAGGGAGTACAGAGGTGATTTCAGAGGAGATCTCAGGTGAGATCTGAGACATGAACGCAAGCTATAGAGACAGAGGCAAAAAGAACAGTGATGAATATACTTAGTAAATGATTTATGCACTTGACGCAAAGCCTATTTGTGAGGTTTTAGGATTGCACTGCATTGGAAACTAAACTGGATTACTGGAAAGACCCTTCAAGTTTTTGAAGCCTTCCCATCTCGCCAATGAATGCAACCACTTCTTCAATTTTTGATTAATTTTAAAAAAGGCTAAGTGTTACCAATTTATTTCTGGATCTTTGATCCCACTGAATTGCTTTTTCAGAAGTGACTAATATGTTTGGTGCCCAGCTTTGAAACACTTCCCTTGTTTTCAGAGAGCATAGAAAATGTCCCTACTTTTCCCCAAGTGTGCTAATGGACTTCTTAATGAGTGAAGATCTGTCTTTTATATGGCATCTGAATTACAGTTTTTATACCACCACAACAGCCTAGGGGCACCATCTTTGGATGGGCTCTCAGGAAAGATTGCTTTTAACTAAGTTGCACTAAATATGGCATGATGATGATGTTAGAAAAACTCTTTTCCCAGTGCTTCCTAAGTCTGATGCTGTCCAACATGAACAAATCAAAGCCCAAAGTGCTATTAGATTGATTTTTCTGATCAGTTTTGGGCAAATAAATAAATTATCATACAAGAGAGGAAATATAAAACAATATTATACTTACTATCAGTGAGTATACCATTTAAGGTTCCAGTGCAATAATCTTACAGACAGTAAGAAAAGGAAGCCCAAAAGTAAGTGCAAGCCCAAAATCTGGCTCTTTAAACTGTCTCGGGTTTTTAGCATGCCCAAGCCTGTCCTAAGTAACTTTTAAATGTTACCGTGTGATTGCTTTATTCGAGGCAAGATTGTGTCAGTAGTCAGGATTTAGTGGAGTTAAGATGCCCCTGTGAATTTTGGCTGGTCACTGATGTTCAAACCAGCAAAAAAGTCTTCATGCTGTGATGCTCAGCAATGCAAAACCCCATTCCTTGAGTGCTGCCTACAACACTGCATGAAATCTCTACATTTTCTGTATAAGCCTTGGGGTGAAGGCACCCCACTGTGATTTTTCAGTGAGGTTCATGCCAGGTTTCTGCCTAGCTACTAGGAAATGTTGATCCAAGAAGCAGCCTTTTAAATCAGCCTCTTACGCTTATGACTGTGGCAGGGAAGACTGTGTCAGTTTGGACATCCCTGCCTCAGAAATCTCTGCTTTGTTTGGTTCCTAAATTACCCTTTTCTAAAGTGAACAAGAGCTACTCTTTTCCTACAGGAGCTCAGTCATTACAACAGATGCCTCCCAAATTGCACTATGTCCCTGCACCAAATTCAGAGCCCCTGCTTTCTAGAAAGTCCCATCACCTAAGCATGGTAGGCAGATTAGAGGAACAACACACACTTTTCTCTCAAGGCACTGTGAGATTAATAACAAAAAATAAGTAAGTCATATCCAACAAACCACAAATAATATTCTGCCCAGAAGGCTTTTCCTTAACTTTAAAATGGTCTTTCATTTTCTTAAAGCCTAAGGAAGATCAACAAATTGAAGCATCATCATCATTCTCAATTTTTTGTATACATGCCATTTTTTCTTTTTTCTTTTTTTTTTTTTTTTTTTTTTTTTTGCAACAATGACATTACTTACAGTAAGGCTACAGGATTATTGGTTAACAACACCAGCCTCATTTTTTGCTTCTTATGGGGTGATCTGTAGGTTACATCTGCAGTCGTGCTTGATGTTGATTTTCAAACACTGAAGCGTCAGTAATGTTTAACATATGCACTGGCCTATAACAAAACCTCTGGGCTCTGGTGGCTATAAGCACCCCCACCCCAAATCCAGTAACCCAGAAACAAAGAAAATGTGAGCATGCTGATTAATTGTTTAGCTGTCAGTGGTAGTGGGGCCAACTACAGTCTCGTCGTCAGTGAGTATCACCAGCAGTAGGTCAGGATTTCTAGAAGAAATTGTGTCGTGATTTAACCCGGCTGGCAACTCAGCACCACGCAGCCGCTTGCTCACTCCCCGCTCCCTCAGTGGGATGGGGGAGAGAATTGGGAAGGAAAAAAAAGTTAGAGCTGTGGGCTGAGATAAAGACAGTTTAATAAGAAAAAAATAGTAATAATAGTAATAAAGAGAATGGTAACAGAATTTACAGAATATACAAAATGAATGATGCACAATGCAATTGCTCACCAACTGCCGACCGATGCCCAGCCCGTCCCGAGCAGCAATCAGTCCCCGAGCCGCGATCACTCTCCCTGCAACCGGACCAACCGACTAACCCCCCCCGAGCATGACGTTCTATGGTCTGGAATAGCTCTTTGGTCAGTTTGGGTCAGCTGTCCTAGCTGTGCTGTACTCCCAGCTTGCTATGCACCTGGCTGAGCAGGAGAAGCTCAAAAAGTCCTTGAGTAGTCTGAGCACTACTTGGCAACAGCTGAAAACATCAGTGTGTTATCAACATTCTTCTGGTACTAAATCCAAAACACAGCACTATGCTAGCTACTATGAAGAAAATTAACTCTATCCCAGCTGAAACCAGGACAAATTGTAAAATCATGTCTTCTGGTGATTCATCACTCTTTTCAGAGGCAGGGGTCTGGAGTACATGATCTGATCTGTTACGGCAATTCCTCTGTCATGGGTAAAACCAATGCAGTACAACTTCCCTGAGAGTAGGGTATGGGCTTCCCCGGCCACTGTAAATCAATAGCGCTCCACTGATTTCAGTGCAGCTCTGCTGAATTATGGTGACTGAGGGTCTGGTTCAACAGATGTAGATTTCTCTCAAAGAAGAGAAAAAAGGACATGCAGCCTACTTTGAGCAACAAGCAGTCTGGAACACGTATTTAGTGTTCAACATACCATTTGGGAGAGCTCAGCTACTTAGCCCCTCCTTTATGTTCCACCTGCATCTGCTGCATGTGCTGCTTAAGTTGTCTTTTGGAGAAAGATAACCCTTCCTCCTCTGAAACTTTTTCATAACTAATTATGTTTCTGCTTCCACCATTCACAGCACCTCTGGCACGAGGAGGGAGTTAAGTTAACCCATCTCTCCTAAGTGCTTGTTTCTCAAAGGCATTTCAAATCTCCTTTCATGGTTTTGATTTCATTTTGGGTCATGACTGGCCATTGCTTTCAAGCTTTTTGTCAGAGGACTCAGTATAGATGGTAAGTTGTAGAGCATCATGTCAAGTTGTCATGACTTAAACATCAGACCTAAGAATATTCCAAATTTTCTCAGTAGTAACAGAGTCCAGAAATTCCAGAAAGTGGAGAAATTATTTCTTTCCAGTCCAGCTGAATACATCTTTATAAATTCAAATAGTGACACATTTATGTAGCAATCATTTGGCTATTACTACTCAAATAATTTGTTATGTAGGCTGAACGCAAAGTGAAATGTATGTTAAAAGATAAAGCAATGGGCAGGGATCCTATTGATACCTGAAAAATTTTATTTCGGAATTATGTTACTATAGTTGAATAGCAGGAAGTACTATTTTAAGAATCACTCATGCTTATTTATAGAATGTATTTTGAATTACCCACTGGAGGAATATAATGCATGAAAAAAGCCATGTCTGAATTTTCTTTTTGAACAGTGTCCTTAATCCTTTTTCTGTTCTAATATTAGAACGTATGAACCATCTCTAGGGCCTCATAATTAAATGCAGTCTGTCTGTGCTACTTTAAACCCCAAATGTAGGCAGAATTTGTAAAGGTTTTTAAAGAAAAAGTTGTGTTCTATTTTTTTTTTCCCTAGGCAGATATTATTGCTAAAATGTAATAGTCTACATGACTTCTGGTAAAGTTTCTGTGGAGGCTAAAAAAAGTCCTGGTTGCGCTGCTCACTGAAAACATTCTGAAGGCCAATAAATCAACTTCTTGAGACTGAACAGGCAATAGAGCAGTGGATTTTTCATCTGTGCTGTGTTTTCAAAATCATTAGAGGTTTAGAATGGCCTACAGTCTTCCTCAGAAATGTCTAGAAAACCTTCAATCCATCATTTCAATTAAAATCACTAACCCCAGAACCCCCCCGGCTTTGCCTTGAATAGCATAGCTTGCAAAGGAGCAACCCCCCTGCTCTTTTCCATGTAAGACTCCCTATGTCTTCAAAGTCCCAATAGCCCAAAGGGGGTTTTGGTGCGATATTCAGTTGTCTGAATACAGTTCAGTTGCTTTCTAGACAATACTGACTCCATTGACTCTGGAGTTAATTCAGTTGCCTAAACATGGGAGTGTAGAGTTATTTGAGACATCAAATAATGCATTTGAGAATTCTGCATGGGGCTGGCAAAATGAATGCAGAATCTACACGAGAGGGCTGAGATATCCTACAGCATCCCAAATTGCACCCGTGAATCCTGGGCAAGTGAGACATCCTTTAAATTTCCATGGACTACAAAAGAAGCTCACAAAACAAGGTCACATGTAGACACTGACATTGTAGATTCTTTTTCAGAATTTAATTGCCTTTCCAGAGGCAATCATTTTAGGATGTTCTATTAACATGTCCAGAATCACAGCAGATGTGATGCAGGACTGCAGGGGACATGAAACTTTCTTGAGTGGGAGATGAAAGCCAAGCAAAATACATGACAACACCTAAATGACGCTAGGTATCTGTACTTAAGAAGATGAATCTAAACTATTCAACAACTGATATCCAGAAATCCATTTAGCTGTTTAAATGTAAGTATCCTAATCTGCGAGTTAGATATCATTCCATAAGCTCAAAACAAGTCACTAATTTTTTCTCATTTCTTTGTCTGGTAAAATCAAAACAGTGCCTCTGTCTAAGGAGTGTGTAGCAACTCTGCATCCTCAGACAATAAGTTGATAAAATTTTGTTATCATTCAGATTGAACTGTGGCCAAGACTACCATTTTTCTAATTTCTCTAAATTCTTGGACTCCAGTATTTCTTATTTAAACCCCAATGGACATAAAACTTCTGCTCCTATTTATTGCTTCTATTTTTGTAGTTTTACCAACCGCATTCAGAAGGGAAGAGCTTACTCCATGCTCTATCAATAGTGTGATTTGTACGGCACTATAATCTCATGGTTTCAAAGAAGACCAGGAGCCCATTCTATTAGTACCAGCATCAGTGCAGAGTAGGCACACCCTCCTGAAAAGCAATTAAGACTTATTGTCACACTTACAGCTAATTCCTCCAATAAAGAAAACTTGATTCTTGAGAGGAATAGGAATATTTTGCCCATGGGTAGTTCTAAACACTCAAAATAATTAACTAAAAAACTCCCACCCAGCATGTATATTTAAAGAATTTTATTTATTTTTATTTGTTTTATGGGGTCAGACTGCATGTATGCTTGGGAGTTTCAGTGTGAATATTCCCATAGCTGATGGATTCATTCAGTTTTAGCCAGTTGACAAGGAGGTGGAGATCTAAAGACTGTGATATCCATTTAAGTTTTGTGAAAAACAGAGGTGTAAAGGAGAGGTGGTATAAATGTCCAGACTGGAGAAGAGGTGCTATGTGAGCTTGACTATCATGATATACGGAAGAATCCATACAAGTATGTGTATCCAGATGTGTATACAAATTAATAAATGTAAAAGATCACAGCCTCCTCCTGCTGTTTACCTGTCCTTTTTGCAGAAAAATCTCCAGCTGGAGTTTTCACACTCTTAGACCTCAAAGTATCAGCCACAAAGTACAAACTAGGAAGAAACCTGGATCTGCTCATTCTGATAATCACAGAATTTCTTGGTTTGTTTTGTCTTTCTCTTACTGAGGTTGAGGGAATCCACCCAGAATGCAAGATATTCCAGCAGGTGGTCAAAGAGGAGGCACTCTGCTTAGAAAAGAATGAATCTGTTTCACCTGATCTTAAAGGTAACAGTCCTGATTGTTAAGCCCTGATATGAATATCGCTTGTATATAATTTCAGGGGCCCAATGTCAAGATATCATTTGTTCTCCTGACTCAAGATTTGATTCCTATTTTATTTGGTTTCCTAATAGTTTAAAGTAGCTTCTCAGTAGCTGTAGCTACATCTAGCTGTAGATTACTTTACCTCATCCCATTTCAGACATCTTTAAAAGCTCAATGTCTAAGTCAGGACTTGTCTTCTTAGATTCCCTTAAAGTAAATGGAGGAAGATGGGTGTTCCTAGAACATGTTTCATTGCCCCTGGTTTAGATGCTTACTTTAGGATGAGGTGAATCATTCTCTGGAATAGTATTTCTCTTTACTAACTACAGAATGAGGCTAAGTTGATTAGTTCAGACCCTGACAAGTTTAGATACTTAGTTAGGGCAGGAAAACCCTACTCGGAATGCCTTACATTCCTAAAGTATTTGGTGTGTTCTTTACTTGTATCCAAAACTTCAAAGAAGCTTCCACAGAAGACACTGAAAAGCATGCTGAAATTATATCGTGTTGGGAATCACTCCAATCCTGTGAAAGTGTTCCTTCAGAAAAAACAAAAGAAATAAATAATCCCAAATTCTTCAAAATATTCTATTTTTATTTTTTTGGAGGTTTTTTGATTCTTTGTTTGAAAAGATTTATTGTGGTGGTGTTTTGAAATCTATTACACGCTCAAATATAAATTTTGAAAATTAAAATGAACATTTCAAAGAGCCTGTAAGATATTCTTAAAATGCTGCATAGGGGTTTCACTTTGCTGGGGTTTTGGTGTTGTGGAGAGATGTTTTGAGTTGATTCAACGTGAAATTTCAAAATGTTCAAACTCTTGAAAAAGTTCGGTCATATTTTTTCTGGCCAACTTTGCTTAGAAAAATATCAATACACCTGAGTGAGATTTTTCAGTTGGCATGAATTATCAGATGTTCATTTTCTACAGAGGAGCTATGAGACAAAGAGGCCTCATGAACTTAGTGTGAATAGAAGTATTGCAGCTACGTGGAAGTCTGCCTTTAGCAGCCTACTGAACTGTGGAGATTAACCCCCAGGATATTTCCTTTATCTTCTTATTTCTTTTTCTGCAGCCTTTCCAATCACTCTATGTCTGATATCCTTCCTGTACTTGCCTACTCTACTTTAGTGGTATTTCCCTCCCCTTTTAATCAAGTTCAGAATACCTCCTGGGCACATTTTGGACTTGGAACACCCAGTAACCCACTCAAATATTTCTAGCAAAAATCATGCATTTTCGATAATGATTTATTACACGCATTACAGTTTGACATTCTCTTTACCAGAAAAATAATTGCATGATTTGGGAATCCTCTTTGTAGCAAAGGCCACTCAAAGAAATAAAAACCACTCAAACTTCCGTTGAACTGTTTAAAAATCTTGACCCTTGTCAGTTCTGATCTTCTCAAAGCTCCCCTTTTCATATTTTATTCCCTAGAGATGGAAAAACTTTAATGAAAAATTGTTCTGGTATTTACAGCTTTTCTCAATGTATTTTTAAATGGACCATTAGATCTGGAAAAACAATTAATCCCCAATATTTTATCTGGGGTATTTTAAAACTAGACTAGGATGGATAAAAGTACCTGGCTTGCATTTCAGTTTTCAGGAATTGCACATGAGACGAACTGAAGGATCACCATTTGTGCAGTTACTCCCTAACACTCACAGAGAATCCCAGCTGGAATGAGCCTATGTTGCAGGTTTTTTCATCCTAAGTAGTTCCATTTCATTTTTGCTGTACAAAGCAGTGTCTAATGAGTGTCATCAGTAGAGTCCAGGGTGCAATTCCTCTCATCTTGAAGCAGATGTGTAAAATTGGTCCATTGAATGAAGCTCTAAAGATGCTTATTTTTCTCCATTGTCTAAAAAAGAAAGAGCCCTGGGTTACTGAAGAAGACTTAAATATCTATGTTGTCAACATTACTTGCTTGATGGAGTCTCAGGTGACTTGGACAATCATTAGTCTCTCGAAAACCTTGGCGTGTAAAATGCTCTTGCTGCCTCTGAACTCATTGGTTTCTCTGATGTAAACTGAAGAAGTCACTGGAAATAAAGCCAGATCTAAGACTTAAAACATACAGGTTCCAATCCTACATAAGTCACCTGGTTCTGGTTTTTAACCCCACATTGTCAAACACAATAGATTTTTTGACCCAGCTCCTCAGAGGTCCGTCTAAATGTGTGGGCCACCGCATGTCTACGTGGGACTCATATTACCTGACTTTATTAATTTGAAAATTAGGAGCCTAGTTTAAGCTATAATAATCAGAGAGACCTAGGCATTTGCAGCAAGTGATTCATCCCATCCTCAGAAAGGAGCATCCAATATACGGGATGAATCATGTGCTGGCAGTCCCCATCTCTTTCTACTGGTTACAGAGGGAACATTGCTAAGATTAGCTAATGTATTTTAGACAATTAAAATTAGAGATAATGAATCAGGGCTTCTATTTTTTCATCTGGAAAATTTGGGATACCAGGAATTACACACTCCCAAGGGTGATGTGAGGATAACACTGTGGGAGATTCTCAGGACTAACCTTTCGTAAGCCAGAGAGTAGCTTTGCTTAGCTACAGGCGAGTAATATTGCTTCCACATTTCAGCTCTTGACAATTTTAGATTTGCCTTGTCATTAGTCACAGAGGAAACAGAAAAGAATCACTGAAAGAAAATAACACCTCCCAAATCAAACTCATGTACTACTTTATATCCACCTTACGACTATCTAGAGATTAGTTTTGGTTACAGTGCAGTGCTTTTTTTCTTGTTGTTTCAAGCACCTTTACATGCTGATAGTTTTGCTGTGCTGCACCCACACCTATTTGCCAACAGACACTGCGTGACCTCAGCTTGAGTCTCAGTGTGATGATGCATCCATGACAAAGCTGTGATTAACTATAACTTCTGGAAACCCTTTCTATCGTACTCATAGCTAGTAGCATGCTCTGCGTCATCAGCTGTCAACCTCTGGTTTAGGGAACCTTGTGAATGTCAACCAGTCAGACCTACTCCTGATGATGGATATTGTCTGTGATGCTGAGAGATGTTTTTCTAGTTTGGAATGAATCTAATCCCTGTTGAAATCCACTGTAAAAATGACACTGATTGCCTAAGACCAGGACTTCAGTCCTTATTTTTTTTAAGTCAGGTGAAATTGGTAGACTTTAAGCATGGAATCAAGAGACTAAGGCTCTTAAGTCTGATGTTTTCAGTTAGACTCTGAAACCAGTAATAAGAAATCTTAAGTGCTAGTAATTATTCAATATTTTGATTTTGGTGATTTTTATTTTGACAATAAAGAGAGCTCCAGTTGATTTGACTTTCAGATTGTGTCTGCTTGACTTCCAGGTAATCCTCTCATGAGATAAGGTGGGGCAAGGTCCAACTGGAATTCCAAGTGCATATTTGAGCAACGATGCATTCAAAGAGAAGAGGAAAACAATACAAGCCTTCATTTGCAGAGCTGCATGTCCTGTTGTGGCTCTTCTTCATGCATGTGAATTAGAGGAAAGCCACAGACAATCTCATTATGGAAGATCAGCTGTGTGATGATCTGTGTGTGTTTCCTTATTTAGAGGCACTTCTTTTTCAGGTTGCACCAGAGATTGGGACGGTCTAACCTGCTGGCCCAGAGCCACTTTTGGGGAAGTGGTTAAAGTTCCCTGTCCAAGATTTTTTGAAGAAATCACCAATATCCATGGCAAGACTTTTTTCCTATTCTTTTTATCCCTAGATATTTTGAAAATAAATTCTAATTCAAGATTCAATAACTTGCTTATTTTCCTGATTCACAATGCTATTTTATGTCAGCTGACATAGAGTAATTATCCAAATACACATCTTGGCTTATGGTCAATATTTGGCACTCTTCTGTTTTGCATTACGCTGCACTAATTGTCTAGTCTCTTTGGTGGTCTAAAGAACATGAGTAATTGCATACATTGCTAAGGTTATAAAGGAATATAAGTATGTCATAGAATCACTAATTTGTAAAGTCATAGAATAATTAATGTTAGAAAGGTCATCAAGTCCGATTCTCTAGTCAGAGCGGGACCAAGTTCAAAAATTGTATCTAACTTCAAAACTAGATCAGGTGGCTCAGGACTTTGTCCACAAGCACAGATGATGTTGTAAATGCAGGATAGACTGCATAATTTGATTTCCTCTGTGTAAAGATTGAATTTGCGGAATGAATTTCTTATATGAAATGTAGAAGTTCCACTGCATCTTGAAATGAGGAGGAACACCTGTCTCAACTTTTCAGATGATTTGTAGAATATTATGACTCTGTAGCTAATCTTGTTGAACATGACTAGACCTGTAAATGCCTAACCTCAGAATCAAAGTAGGAAGAAAATCTGTTGTTTCTTGCAAAACTTCAAGAACACCCCCCCACTATAATTAATTCTCTGAGATACTTTACCGTTAAAGGCTTCCTTCAGAGAAACTGTACACAGGAGGCATATTGGTCAGAACCATTCCCACCATACACCATTGCCTGTGGATTTGATGAAGGTTCCAGTAAAGGGCCTGAGGATCAGGTGAGTTTTTTATTTCCTGCTTATGGACTTCTCCAGAGCGCCCTTTTTTGAGTGTGCTGAGTAGTTGGATTCTCCTGAACATATGAGCCTTGTCAGAATCCAGTAATTACCCATCTTTAGTGCTAAGCTCAAACTTTTTAGGTATATTTATAGACTGTTTAACAAATTAGGCTTAATATAAAGCAAAGGAGTAGCATGTAGCACTTTCCTCTCTATCCAGTTGTCTCCTCTTGGTGTTAAACAGTAGACTCACAATTAGTTCGCTTGTCCTGCCTAACAAAGACTTCGGTTCTCTGACAGAAGTGATCTGAATCCACATCATGCACCCACCTCCAGGAGAAGCCCTACCAAACAATCTGTGGAGAATTTTTCAGGGAAAATTCCTTCAGTTCCCTTCTGTTGCTTGTTTTCCCAGATTTTCTTTGAGTCAGAGAAAAAGATTCCATAACTTCATAGCATGGTGGTCAATGCACATCTCTAGGAGGGAACTCCTGGATGCCATTGAGTAATTTCACACTTTATCTTCGGTGTTCAGTGGAGTAGAAAATGAACCCCTATTTTTCTTATCCGAAGAGCATCATTAGGTGCTCAATTAGGTTCCAGGAGTGTTTCTTTTTCACCCACAACTTCATATGATTTAAACTTCCATGTTCCTCATCATTGGCTTGGCCCCAGGATAGGAATGCCTTGCACTGCATCAGTGGTGAGCTTAGCCTCATGGCTGAAGGTTGTTGATTAACAGGCATGTGCTCGCTACTTCTGCCTCTTGAGTTCTGACCTTTGCTAAATAGGACAGTTCAGCATGAGAGAATAGTGTCTCCATGCCCTCATGCCCTGGGGCAAGGCTCATACATCTTGTACAAATGCACTAGCTCCTGGGGTACATTGCTGCTTCCTCCTCCTATAGCAGTATTTTGATAGAAGCAATACACTACCTTCAGCCTATGAAAGACTGACTCATATAACTTCTTGAGAGTGGTTTTGGTTCTTCAGGCATGAAAGTTTAAACACAGCAGTACTAGTTCAGGCAACTGAATTTTTTGGAAGTGTAGACATAATTGGCGTCAGCTATTTGCCTCCATGAACTTAGATACTCAAGCACAGCTGTAATAGGCAGTACAGATATCTGGAGCTCAATTCCCCACCTGTAAAACTGAGAATTTTTGTACTTCTTTACCCCTTGGGGAAGCTAGAAAGATAAATGCTTAAAAAACTTCTGGAAATTTGCTGGAAACCCTGCAAACAGTTCAGAAGGCATGTGAACTGGTAAGGTGCCGTGTATCAGAATACATGCATAGCTCTCCTGCCATAGGGCCAGCTGCCATGGTATGGCTCTCACCTACAGAGCTAAACTCTTTTACTTTCCAGACCAGGGTGGCCTTCTCCAAGTGGTCCCTGGCTTCTGCTAAGCCAGGCATAGCCTGTAGCTGCACTAGGATGAAATCAAGCGAGGGACTATATTTACATTTTAACATATATTTACATTTTATCGAGAGCAGCCCTGCCGAGAGGGACTTGGGGGTACTGATGGATGAAAAGCTAGACATGAGCTGGCAATGTGCGCTGGCAGCCCAGAAGGCCAACCGTACTCTGGGCTGCATCAGGAGAAGCGTGGCCAGCAGGTCGAGGGAGGTGATTCTGCCCCTCTACTCAGCTCTGGTGAGACCTCACCTGGAGTACTGCGTCCAGCTCTGGAGCCCTCAGCACAAGAAGGACATGGAAGTGTTGGAGCGGGTCCAGAGGAGGGCTACAAAAATGATCCGAGGGCTGGAGCCCCTCTCCTATGAGGACAGGCTGAGAGAGTTGGGCTTGTTCAGTCTGGAGAAGAGAAGGCTACGGGGAGACCTGATTGTGGCCTTCCAGTACCTAAAGGGGGCCTATAGGAAAGATGTGGAACATCTTTTTAGTAGGGCCAGCTGTGTTAGGACAAGGGGAAATGGTTTTAAACTAGAACAGGGTAGGTTCAGGCTAGAGGTAAGGAAGAAATTTTTTACAATGAGGGTGGTAAAACACTGGAACAGGTTGCCCAGAGAGGTGGTGGAGGCCCCATCCCTGGGAACATTCAAGGCCAGGTTGGATGGGGCTCTGAGCAACCTGATCTAGTTAGCAGTGTCCCTGCTCACTGCAGGGGGGTTGGACTAGATGACCACTAGTGGTCCCTTCCAACCCTACACATGCTATGATTCTATCATTCTATCATTCTAACATTATGGAAGATTTCAGAGGAAGAGGTCATGTCTGTGTTGTGGCTGTGTTTAGTTTGTTATTCCAGACAAACCCACAAAGTCTGTAAAAGGAAGATAAGATCAGTAAACTCTACTGCATTGTAAACACAGGGAAGTAGGTGAGAAGAATCCCACTTATATTCTAAAAGATCCACTTGTTTTGTATTTTGTAGTTGCAGTGAGGACTTATGATGTCTTCTGCATATAGTGTTGTTTTTTTAATTATCCTACAAAAGCAGATAAAATGCATCAAAATACTTAATTGTTCAGTTGAAGAATCGATTTTCTAATTTTCACCTGTGTTTTGAAAATGCTGTATAAAAGATTAAGACTATTTCAGAAACATGAGGATGATTCCTAGGTTGTCAGGGTTGCATTATTTATTAATGGATTTACTTAAAATTCCTAATCGGTTGTCTCAACCTAGAATTGCTGCCTTTTGGATAAACAGAGTTTGGATCAATTAGAGAACAAAGTGTCCATTGCATTTGCAAGGAGGAAATTTGCTTGGACTCAGCTAATTTAGTTTCTTGGGATTTTGAATAATTAGGTGATCTTGTAGTGAATCAGAATAAAATTTGCATCACTAAAACGATGTAAAAAAGCTTCATTTTTCTTGAGACACAGGATATTTGAATGCAAAACAAACAAATGAACTATAAAGAATTTAAAGTGTTACAGTATGCAGCTGCTTGTCTAAATGAACTCTTTGTCCAAATGAACTGTTTGTCCGAAGAATTAAAGCCCGTGAGGCTATTTTCCTCGCTTTGACTTTCCTACCGCCACAGTATGATGTGACTGTTTCCCACTGTTTCGGTTTCTGCACCTGCAAAATACAAGTTTTATTTCTCTTTTAACTACAGCTGTTTATGAATATTAACACTTATCGAACCTGTCAGAAATGTCCTTTGAGCTGAACAGAGTAGAATCTGGCCCACGTCTAAAGTGACAGGTTCACAAGTCACCCTTCAGCAAGCTTCAGTGCTCTAGAGTCTTTAGGTGCTTAGAGAAGAAAATGTAGTTACTTAACAAAAGTAACATTTTCCTGTTGAACGTGCTCACGGAGGTCACTATTTCATATGAGCCTGTGGGCTGTGGAACCTGTCTCATGTGTAAGGTTATGTAGGGTTCAAAAGGAAAAAGGTGTGTTAGCGATGGAGGGAAAAACCTGAATGAGGTCTTAAGCACACAAAGCAACACATAAGTGATGGGACTGACTAGTAAGGGAAAATTTATATTAGTGAAATAAACACACTAGCGTGTATGCTGCAGAACCACCAGCATTGGTCTGTGTTTTCTTTTTCTCACAGAAATCTTATTACTCTGCATTTTGGCGTGTCTACACTGCTGGCTATGCAGCATCAGTGACTTCACTCATTACAGCTCTAATTGTCTTTGCTGCATTCAGGTAAAAAAATAATGTTCTCTTTTTCAAGATGTCTTAAGATAGCCTCATCCTAATTCCTCTCAAACGCTCTGTTTTTTTGGTTTTGGGGGTTTTTTTATTCTTATTTTCAAATCCTTCTCAGACGTAACACCATTGATGGCAATGGGTCCTTCTCTATTCATGTTGTGGCATTTCCCTGCAGATGTTAAAACAATAAAGCTGGCTGGCCAGTCCATCTTAGTCTCTTTAATGACACTGTACATTGGAAATACTCCAGCCTGTTAACACTATTAACATGAGATAACTATTCCTCCAGTGCACAGCAGGGCATACTCTGCAGAAACTGAGTGTCTCATGTCCCTGGACCAGTAGTAATTCTAAACTGTCCATTCCCTCTGTGAAAGACCATTGCTTCTATAACTGGGAGCTATAGAAAGAGATTTAAAAAAATTTAAAAGTCATGTTTGCTGATGTTGGATATTAGGAAATGGTTCCTGGTTTTGATTGGTCCCAATGAACTTGGACAAAAACCTTAATCTTACTCTGCAGATAGGAGTGCAGAGTACAGAAGCCGCTTCCTAACTGGAGTGGATTTGCAGCCTCAAAGGTCCTATCAGTCATAGAGCGACCCAGGACCAATAGGCTGATCTGTCCAAACCTTGAAGGAGTTTCCTTCAGATCAAGGCCAAACTGTGGACATGCAGTCTAGGGTAAGGCAGCTCCTTCTCTGGCAGTCATCCCACAATACGCGATGGATGCCTATTCAATACTCTGGTTTCTTCTGGCCAGAAAGGGGCTGAAGAGCCTGTGGCAAGCTTGTTCAACAAAAAATGCTATTTGGAAAAATTAAACGGCATTATTGCAATACAACCCAAGAATCCCAGTTACTCTCTGCTTCTGGCATCTCCTTTAAATGTGTGATGATTCAAGGACAATTAGACTAGCACTTTTATTAGCTTAAACAGATAATAACAGTTCTGCTCCCTTGTGCCTAGCTTCTTCTTAAATAGTGACAGATCATTTGTTTGCTTTGGAAGGTGTCTGAAGTCACCCTGTATTCCTGTCTGAGTATTGATGAGACCATGAGAAATTTTTGGTAAAGAATAATTTTTATTTTCTCTTTTCATGTCAGAAAATTCCACTGTACACGGAATTACATCCATATGCACCTGTTTGTCTCCTTTATCCTGAGAGCAATTGCTGTTTTCACCAAAGATGCTGTTTTGTTTGCAGATGAAACTATGGACCACTGCCTAATGTCAACGGTACTAAATTACCCCTCTCTCTTATCCTTGACTTAACATTTATTTCTTTGCCTGAAGAGGACACGGAGATTTCCTAATGCCGTTTCTCTTTAGTTTGATGTAGAACTGAAATGTTAAACCAAACAATACTACAGAAACCCAAAGACCAAGTGCTATGGCTACATTCAGCTTTGATATATAAGGTACAGGTCTGTTGACTCTGATGAAGCTGTAACTGTTTCTACCAGTAAAGAATTTCATCTCTAAGAGAGGGTCAATGTTTCCCTTTCAAAAAACCGAAGTAAAGTTGATAGAAATTATGGAATCCCATACCTACTGAAACCTTGTAATAATTTCTTCATTCTTCTGTGGTAACATTGAGCTTTGCCTATATTTGTGGAGAAACCAGACACAATGGAGAGTAGACCTAATGGTTTTTTCTTCCTCTGCATTTCCAGGTTGCTTGTAAGGCTGCTGTGGCATTCTTCCAGTTCAGTATTTTAGCCAATTTCTTCTGGCTTCTTATAGAAGGGATATACCTGCAAACACTGCTTTTGCTGACTTTTGTTTCGGACAAGCAGTATGTATGGTGGTTCATATTCACTGGCTGGGGTGAGTAGTCCTGTCCTCTTTGTGTTATTTAATATTTCCGTTTACTTTCATATCTGAGTTAAAAGGTGACTATCAAAGGTGCCACCTTTCTGATGAAAGTTGCCCATTCATCCAGTACTACTATATCAAAACCATACCATTATTCTGTTTTTCTTCTTATCTTGTTAGATATTTAACTGTTCAAAACTTTGAAGGAGAGGGTAGGATGGATTTCTAGAAGCATTATGATATGCCTACTCAAAAGACTACAGCATTGGTCTTTGTGACTGGGTTTAATTTCATGCAACTACAGTAATTTAAAAGTTAGCCATCTAATCAAAACTATCTCTCCAGGTTTCTCCTGCAGTCAGTAGAGTGAGGTGTGCATGCCATGGTGATGATTAATCCAGTCCTCAAGAAGATGAGTAATGTGGCTGGGTAACATCCTGGAAACATGTTGCCTTCCTCCACTGACTAAAGAAGTTTGGGTGACATTTTGCTTTCAGTTAGCAGAATTAGGTAGATTAATCTTAAATCACATTGAGTTCAGGCCTAGGAAACAAAAATTTCTATTTTTTTCAGGGACCTGGCTTTAGGTAATCTTTTGAGTTTATATATCAATTAAAATAATCTCTGATTTTTAGGATATTAATACATACATAAAATATTATTTAATACATAAAATTTATTTCACTGGACAGAATTGTTTATTGTGACTCTCAGATATTCTTGTTCTAATCTTGGCCATTTTAAAATGGAGGATTGCAAACTGAGTGGTTACATGACATTTTTGGCTTAGTGAAATTAAAATTCTGAAGTACATAGTAATTTATCCTTCATCTTCAGATTCTCAGACTTTTTTTCTGTAATTAAATTTTCAAAGTCTGAATTTTATAAAGAGGATGTTAATTTAGAGCCATTCCAATTATGAAATCCTGAAACTAAATGCTTAGACCTTGACTAATCACAGCTAAGTTGAGAAAACAAAGGTACACCTCAATTAATAGTACAGTAACCCTCATCTCCTTCTATAATCAATGGAAAGTGAGAGACATCTCAGGGGTAACTTAGATGTAAATATTTCTCTTGATTAATTAAAAAGGTAACTTGAACTGAATATGGTCTCAGTTTAAAGGCCTTGAAGAAAGAGCTAAAATTAGGAAGGATAACTTCTGGGCTTTTCCTACAGATCTCAAATGACACTTAGATATTACCTATATTTCTATAGATTTATCAGTGAAAATGTAACTTGCTCAGATTACAGTCTCTTTTGTAGCAGCTTTGAAAGTCAGTTGGTCTTTGGAAATTCCATTACGCAGAATAAGAGCAAAAGCAATTGCAAAGTTTATAGATCTGTTTAAAAAAAAAAAAAAAAAAAAAAAAGGAAGAAAAATAAATAATTATTGAGTCATAAATGCAGAAGGATAAGCTGTGACAAAGTTAGGTTAGAAATCACCAATTCATGGATTTAGCTAAATTTTCAAGAAATGCTTATCAGTTGATGGCTCTACACTGATTAGTAGAAGCTCCTTAGGACAAAAATGTGAACTCTTCCATCTAGTGTATGCTGGCCACAATTCAAAAGATAAAAGAGCTTTAGCTAAATGAATAATTCCTCCAGCTTTACAAGTGCTTGTAATTCACATCCAAACCTTCAAGTAATTCTTAGCTGTTACTTCTGAAGAGTTAGTTTCCCTGCATCCCCTATTCCCCTTTGTTTTAATTTCATTCTTCTGACTTTCTTTTCCTTTTTTTTTTTTTTTCTCCCCCTGAACAGCAAGTTTAGTTCTTTCATAATGTTATTTAAAATTGTCTGGCCCATTGTTGGGCCTTTAATGTCCATCCAATCTGCTGCACTGTGAAACTTCTTGGAATAAAGTTTCTATGGGGCACAGTATTCAAAACAATTATATTGTGTGTTTCATGTTGATTTGTCCAGGAGCTCCCACTGCTGTGATGTTTGCTTGGGTCCTCACAAGAATCCATAGACAAAATACCGGGTAAGTCAGAGCTTGGATAAGGAATCCAAGATCATCCTATTTTGTATTGTATTTAGATTTTCTGGTGGGAAAAAGATAGATATAAAAAACAGAGAAGCAAAAAAAAAGTGTTCCAGAGTTGTTCCTCTAATCTTTAAACGCCATACTCAAATAAGTGAGAAAATAGTTTTAATTCTTTTGATTTTCATGTGCATATGTGGAGTAACAAAACCTGGAAATATCATAGTAAGTATTAAAATTTCATTTAGTTTCTTAATGTCCAGTCCTTGAGATAATTATATTTTAAGAAAATCACTGTTTCTGTATGAAATCAGCCATAAATTACTAACACTAATCTCTTCAGATAAGTACCTCCCAAACAAACACATGATGTCCTGATAAGTAATTTCTTCTTTCATTTCTTTGATTTTTTTTAATTTGTCTTTGATTTTTTAATATGAGAGCCAGGTATAAAGCAGGTGATTGTTTACTAAAAGCTCCTCTGAAGGCCTTCGGGTCATTTCACATGGATGATCATTTGGAAAAGATACTGTTTTACACCAGCCTGCTCAGGACTCAGATTAATGATGTAGAAGCAGTAAGTTCTATGGCCCACCACATTTAGCACACCCTATTTTCCTTTCTTTATATTACCGCAATACATCTGCAAAAGTTCTCCACTGTAATGTTTCATAAGTGGAAGTGGTCTACCTTTCCACATCATGTGTTTCCTTTTCGTAGCCAGGAGAGGTGTGAGAAAAAGTTCATTTCCTCCTTTCCGACTGCTCCTCTTCCAAAGAATTGCTGGGTCTAGCTGTTGGATCTGTAGCAGAAGAATCTGGCACAAGATACTCCAGTTACAGAGAGAGTTCAGAGAATGGTGGAGAGCAGGAATAAGAGCTCTGATGAGTTCTCACAGACTTGAAGAGGGGGCTGAAAGGTGTCTGAACTTCAGGTGCTCTTCCAGCAAAGTCCCTACCTGCTCAGTTTACTTCTCTGATGTATTTTAAATGTCCACTTTGAGATGAGATTAATTGTGTCCTGCTGTACTGATTTCCTTTGGCTGCAAAGGAAATGTATTTGAATAGATGAAGACATCTACATGGTCAGAAGAATCTCATTGCGGATCCTGCATTCATCTGGTTGCTCTTCTAATATGAGATATATAAACATTCTGTAGTTTCAGAACTATGCGCCTTTTACCTAACAGCCTAGTGAATGGGAAACTCAAGTTCTTCAGACACAGCTGGTCTGAACTCACACTGCTCACATTGCAGTGATACACCTTACACCCAGACATGCTGGGACAAGCCACCATCTGTAAGCTTTATTGTCATGGAGCCAAATATCCTGTGTCACAAAACTGAAAGAGGGAAAATAGAGGAAGAGGGAGCATGATATAACCTAACATGTATGGCACTTGACTGGAAGGAGTTAAGCTGGACTGTTATTGATATTAAGTACAGGAAATCCTCACAACAAGGACCAAAAGTGCATTCTGCCCTCTCCTTTCAGGGTACCTTTACTAGGGCTCTAGATTTTTCCTTCCTGTTTCCTCATGACCCCAAAGTCATCACATTTGTGGATGCACAGTAGTTTAGTCTCTGATCTGTACCCTGTAAAACAGGCACTTTTTCAACAGGAGAGCCTGAAAATAAAAATGTGCATTTCTTGACTTTGCTTTGGTTCTTCAACCTTTGCCTCTTACTGAATAAACTTTCCTTAGATTGGGCTGCACAGAAACTTCTAGAGAGGTATCAGGGTACAAGTGCTGTCAGGGGCCTTTAAACAGTGATTTAAAACTTCGTATCCATCACTTTCTTATTCTGTGACAGAAATAATTTCACATGTTGTGAAAGGTCACATGGGATAGACAATATGACTGGTTTTGTTTGCTGTTTCAGATGTTGGGATGATGATGAAAATGGAGTGGTGTTATGGATCATCAAAGGCCCCATTCTGCTAACTGTATTAGTATGTTTTTTTTCATTTTGTCTTGAGTATCTTTTGAAATGTGAAAGCTAAGTTAGTGTTTCCTTCCAGTAAGCTGGGAGAAGAGCAATAGCACATGCCATGGTATTGAATTTCAAATAGTTTTTAATTATTGTATAACGTAAGGTTTTGTTGTTGTTTTTGCTGTTTTTATTGTGTCCTGTTCCACCACAGATCACAACCTAAAGGGTAAATACTGTATTTTCTAGAGTCATGCTAGGACATAATGAATCATCTTGACACCTCCATTCCACATACCACGGTCCTGTCTGTGTCTCTGTAAGTCATTTCTGAAGAAAGGCAAGACTCTCAGATAATATGAAGCTGGTTTAATACGACAAATACTTATAATATACAACAAATACATAATTTTATCTAGTGTATTTTTAAAATGCATTCTTAAGACATAAACTTAAGACAAAAAATGACCCTTACGCACACATTCATTCCATCTAAATTTAGGGAAGAAACAGTAACGTAACAGTGTTGTAAACAATGAAGGGAGCAGGGGGGGACTATTTAGACCTTGTAAGATCTGCTAGGTGCTGACAGCAAATACTAGGACTTAATATCAGACATAAACCAATATTGAGATATGTAGGTCTATATTCATTCAACATAGCTTTCAGCATATCCTTATGTATAACTATATATTGGTGGGAAAAATTGTACTATTTCCAATGCTATTGATTTGATCTGTGAGCACATTTTCACTGGGCTGTACTGGTACAATTCTTATAACTGAGAATTTTCAGTTAAATTGTATCAACTGAAAATGTGTCTTGACTTGCAGTAAGTTTACAGATTTTGTCTTGTCTTTTTAGATTAACTTTATTATATTTATTAATGTGATCCGAACTCTAGTCCATAAATTGAAATCTCAAGAGGGAGGAGGGAGCCATTCAAGCCACTTCGTGTAAGTATTTCTGGGTCTTTTGATATTGACCCATTCTAGCTGCTGTAAGAGAAGTTTTATGGGCAGGAGCACAAAATGTTCTCCTCTTTACTAATAGAAAGAGAAATCCCCAGAATAAATAACAATGTAAACTTTCTTTTTCATCCCAAATATCTCATCTTTCTCTTTCTTCAGGGGGAGGAGGGTGAGGTGGATGTGTTGGGGACAATGAGAAAAGTAAAATATAAAGTATTACAACTCCAACAGGACCTACCTTGAAAGTGTAAACATTAAATGTCAGGTTGTGCATCCATCTTGCTTCCAGTCCTATATGGTCACATAGGAAAAGATGCAGATAATTTCCTTTAAATTCTTCACAGTAACATGGTGCTGATGTTCTGGTAACTGAACCTAGTCCTTCATGTTTATGACCCCCTTCAGAATCAATGTGAGTGTCATCAATGCAGTCAGAGGACTCAAGTGAACTATTTTACTTGTCTTAAGATACATAGGTGTGGCTGTTAGTTATGGCACAGGACCTAGCGTAAACCTGTGCCCTTCTGGAGTGAGCTGAAGGCCAAGCAGAAGACCCTAGGCTCTCACACCATTGTTTAAGCAACTGAATTGGGTCCTATGGACATTGATGATGAGATCTCCATTGACAGTTTTGGAGTTTGAGACACTTATATGGAGGATACCTACATGTGATTGAGGTTAGTCTCAGGACAGTAGATCAGAGTACTTAGTTTGGTGCCCCTGTTTTTACATGTATAGTGGGGAGAAGAACCCTTAAAGGTCAATCCAGAAAACTTAAATGCTTATTTTTTTCTTTTTTGTTCACGAGGTGTTGACGGTGGGAGTGGCAGAAAGTAATCTTTCTGTAACTTTGTTAGATGTAGTTGCCTCCATTCTGGAGCCGTACCCTGTATTAACATTTATTTCAACATATAATTGCTATCACTAATTCCATATTTCTAACAGTGTTCTTTAATTCTTGGTTTGCCAGGAGACTTGCTAAGTCCACATTACTCTTGATCCCCCTCTTTGGAGTGCACTACATTGTATTTGCATTTTTCCCAGAAAGCACTGGTTTGGAAGCTCGCCTTTATATTGAGCTGGGTTTGGGTTCTTTTCAGGTAAGCTGGACAAAATGTTTATCAGTCCTAGGAGGCCTGGGCTGAAACACCACACTCTCAGGAATTTTACATTTTAAGTTGGTTATTAGAGCAGGTCTTAATAATGTGTCTGAATTGAACACACACATTCCATCTGACTCCTTCGCAAGCTCTTTCTGTTGTTCATTCCCTTACCTTATTATTTGAAATCTCACACTAGTTTTGAGTTCTGACTCAGACTTGATATTAATAATCACATAAAAAATACATCTACCTTTATTAAATAGCAATGACTGAGTACCATGAAGACCAGTCTATGGATTAAGGTGAACTGATTGAAACTAATTCCACACAATAAAGGTGATGATAAGAGGATTGAAAAAATGAGGATAATGTATAACATCCTGTTCTGCCCTTACCCTTTAGCAGTAATGAATCAGTCATTTAATACTTCTTAGTTTCTTTTATTTTGCTATAACATTTCAGAAAAATATCATGAATTTGAAAGGGCCGGGGCCTACGTATGGTACATTTTGTAATAAATAGCTGAGGTCTATTTCCTTCCCCTTTCCCTTGTACCCCACGACAGCTTGTCCATGTTCGTGTGTGTTGAAAATGATCCCTCTTCTTTGCTTACCTCTCAACCACGGCTGGACACTGTTTGGGAAAAATACTTGTTGGCCCAAGACAAAGTGGTGTCGTGGACCATGATGACATTTTAACAACATGTGGAAGTAAGGGTCAGTGTGCAGGGCTGTGCTTTGTTCAGTTTTGCTAACACACGTGTAGTCTAGCACTGTCCAGTGCTTGCCTGTGTTTGCACAGTCTGTGAGATGACTTGGCTCCCAAACAATGCCTGACAGTAGTTCAGGGTGAATATGAACCCAAGACCTTTCCCAACAGGTTTTTGGAACACAGCCATGGTCTTGTGAGTCAAACAGATAGTTTAGCAGTAAAGATGCAAAACAAGAGCAGGTCCTCACCCAGTTTATTCACTACCATAAATATAGACCAGAATAAGACAGACGGTCCTACTACCTTATCTGAGGAAAAAACTTGTTTGTGGGATACAGTAAACAGCTAGTCCTCAGTGTCTCCATACAAGGGCTATAATATACATACAGTGTTGCCAGTCCATTAAGGAATTTAATCCTATTATGAAAACCAAATACATAGTGCCACATCACCTAAATTCCAATGAAACAATGGAAAATAAGTATTTTTGTTGTCTTACTCAAATTTTGAATAAAACCTGATATTTGTCTCTGATTCAATGCTTTATATCCTGACAGTTGGCTTTTTTCTCCCTACCCTCACTGTCCTAGGGTTTTGTTGTTGCTCTTCTATATTGCTTCTCAAATGCAGAGGTGAGTAGCAACTACATAAGATTATCAAAACCTTTTAAACTCATGGGCCTCTCTTTCTCTTTTTTTTTTTTTTTTCTTTTTTTTTTTTCCTATTTCCAGAACAGATTTGTGCTTTGATCTGCTGCTGAAAGCATGAAATACACATATCTCTTTTTTTCCCCTGGTACCTTTTTGACTTTATTTATACTCATACAGTTCTGACAGAAGGACACAAAATAAGCTTTGAAGCAATGACCCTTTAGTTAGGTTAGTGACTTTCCTGTCAGGGGACTTTTCTTCTGCTTTATGTCCAATAGCTATCATGGTGATATCTCGAGGAAAAGCTTGGAATGCTCCTTACTTTCTTTAGGTTTATTTTGTCCTAGTAAGTTTCTTCCCTTTCCCTTTCCTTTTCCTTTTCCCTTTCCTTTTCCCTTTCCCTTTCCTTTTCCCTTTCCCTCTCCCTTTCCTTTTCTCTTACCCTTTCCCTTTCCCCTTCTCCAGAACAACCTGTGTGTTTTCAGTAGTTTTTTTTTCAAACTTTCTTTCTTGTTCTTTGTAACATTGTTAGAATTTGGATTAATTCCCTGTAGTGCATTTTCCTGACATTTTAAAAACTAACAGCTTCCCACAGAAAGGAAGAGAGTTATCTGGATTTCCTTGTGTAAATACCGTGTGGATTGCCAGAATTTGCCTGCAGTTTCCCAAAAAGCCATGAAACAAGAACCATGAGAAAATGTGAAAACACATCTTATCCTCAGGAAAGTGTGTAAGTTAGATGAGAAGAATGACCACTAATGGTGCCTCAGTCTCCCCACTAGCTTACACTGAACGCTTCAATAGAGATGTCTAAATGGAGGCAAAATTAATCCTACCCAAGGATGAATGATGCCTAAAATATGTTTGTTACTTAGAAAAACAATTTATAATGGCCATTCTAGTGCCATTCTGAGAGAGTGCCTTCAGGACTAACTGTAAATACAGAATGTTCTACTTCCCACCTGCCTTCTGTCCACATAGACTCCTTGCCAACAGCCTTTAAATAGCTTGCATATTGTATCTTGCAACACACAAACCTACTACGTGTTGAAAAAGGGTCAGGTAGAGAGCGATCCCTGGGCCCATGATTAAGTGTTATGGGTTGGCTTGTGTCCATGCTGCTTAGGGATAACTGCTTCTGAAGCAGATTGGCCACTCATTATAACTTGGTAGTGGAGCCTTCCTCCATCTGTTATGGTTCCCTGCAATCATAAAAACTAATATTTTCTCTGTGTGTGTTGCTCCAGTGTTAAGTATCTGCAACAATGTGAGAGACTGTGCTGCTGCCAAGCAGGATGGTATGTGTATGGAAGGAAACTGGTACTGTTTGTCCTGGTTTTTTGGAATAAGGTACATAGGAGTGTTCAAGGGCCTTGAGCTTTCTGGGATAGTCCTGGATTACTGGGTTAGTGGAGGAAGCCCCCTTTTATTTACTAGAGTCCTGAAAGCTCCAGAGGGCAGGTTCTGTCCATACTTGAAAATCCACACACCTCTGTGTATGTCAGAATAAAGTCAGAATAGGGGCCACCACAATGATAAATATTGCCAGTGACTTTCAGGGAGCCCCGATGTCCAAGATGTTCCACATGTCCCACCTTCCTTTCTGCGTGTTGCTGTAGAGCCCATATGCAGTAGAGGATTAGATAACAGAATTACTGGATGAATTCCTAAGTTCAAAGTAGTTAATTCACATTTATCCATACATAGGTCCCCTGTAAGAATTAATAGTTTCACTTACAGCTTATTTCTGCATTTAATTTGGAGTGGGTTTGTGCTACTGGTGCTACAACTATAATACTGTCGTAGATTTTCAGTACTAATGACAGCCCCAGAATATGGCAGCTATGTGATTAGAAGGATTTGACATAACTTCTTAGTTTAGGATGGCATTGGTAAATTATTTTGTGAGCCATCCCCTTTGCAGGAGAACCAGAGAGATATGAAGCTGAACACGGACAGAGGTAACAGGCAACAGCGAGCAATTAATCCACAGGAGCAGAATGCTCATGTGAATGGTGGCAAGGACTGGGTGTTTCCTGCACCTACTTGCTCTCTCTCCCCAGCTTTGAGCATAAGTTGCTTTATGTAGGGCAACAGAACCTACTTTCCCACTGTCCCCTCACCCCGGTCCCAGTAGTGTCAACAGCAGGCCATGGACCTCCAGGGTTGTTCAATCTACCTGTTAGTTGTGTGTCATATGGTAAAAAAACCAGTTTTACCTGTGCTTTTGAGGATCTCCGAGTCCTTTCTTAAATGTAGTATGTATTCAAGTTGATCCAGTATCTTACAGTTGGTAAGGGGTCTTTAAGAGGGATTTCAACCTGGAGAAATTGAAAGCTTGGAGAAAGACCCTTGTTGTACATAGCAGGTCACAGCAAGGAGGCACAGAAGATTTACTATGAGGAAAAACAGAAATTATATAAAAAGGTAGAAATATTTATGAGGCAGACCTACAACAATAAACAATGAAACTGCTGTCAAAAACTCCCCCTTCATCCTCTGAATTTTGGAAATCAAGTCTGTTTATTTTCAAAAGTGAATAGGGACATAGTTTAAGTTCTAAAAATGTATTAAGGCTTAATCCTGATTGATGTGGGTGCCTTCGTGCATCTGGGCTAAGTAGTCAGGCCCACTAGGTCTTAATTTTCTGATTCTTTGTTTTTAAATTGCTTTTCTATAGGTTCAGAGTGAACTGAAGAAACAACTATGCAAATGGCAGTATCAAGAATACCTGAACTTCACACACAAACATGGGACTTTGTCCAGAGAAAACAGTCCAGTCAACTATGTCACTCAGTTATCACTGCTTGAAAGAATCAGTCCAAAAAGGAAAACATCGGTGTACCAGAATAGTGTAACTTCTGTCTGAGCTTTTCTAGCAAGATGAGTCGCTTTGATGTTGTAATACACTACCTAAGAGATGGACATCTTGGATCCTTTATGGCTTTCCATAATGTCAAGAGCCTTCTGCGAATTTCTTGTCCTGAATGTGAGCTGCTTTTCTCACCTGGTACAGATTAGTCTCACAACTCTGGTTGTCTCTCTCCTTAAGCATATAAAATCCACTTGTTTTGTTATAAAAAGCCAGACCTTGAACTAGTGTGAATCAACAGGTTAGTACCCAAGAAAAAAAGGAACTACATTAATTCCCCCCAGGCCCAGCGTGTTTGTCACGTCTTTGTTAGTGTTTCCCAAAATTTCCAGTTTTCAACAACACTATTCCTAATCTTCATTTGAAAGAGTTATGTGGTGGCAAAAGTTTACGATAATGGTTAGCAATGTTTTATTAGTTGTTTTGAGACAATCTGAGCTGACTTAATGGGAATTACACATAGAAACTTGTTAAGCACCTACCAATGGAGCAGCAACCTCCTTTAAAAGGAATATCAAGGTGTCTCAAGAGTGATGCAAATAAAGAACAAGTTATGTTATCTGCTTGGGTTTTTTTCTTCCATGCCTGTTGAACAGAGAGATTAAATTAGGCCAGAGGAACCCAAGCCCTTTCTTGTCCATGGAAAACACGGAGTAGCTGAACATTAGGCAGATTATGTGTGTATGAAGGAAGAACATAAAGCAACCTCAACACAGTATGCTAGCTGGGCTACCTTGAGCTCAGAATAATTTAGAGACCTAGTCTTAGTTCCCAGATGTTGGTCCTTATGTATCTGGAACAGACATTCTGCGGCCATAACCTTGAAGGCTGGCTTGATCCATCAATGAAATACACAATTAAACTGTCCTTTTGTGCTTTTTTTGGGACCTCCCTTTGACAACTAATCTGCTGTGATCACTGTGATTACCTCAGTCCTGCCCACCATTTCTCAGCTCATTATCACTCCACTCAATGATATTTCATGGGTGAGAATTATCAACACAGGAGTGTGGTCTAGTGAAGCAAAATATGGTCTAGTAAAATGGGACGAACAAATGTTGTGCTTGCATCACTTCTTTGGGTGGCCTTCTGCTTTCTTCAGGACTGAGTTAGACTCTACCTCAAACTCTCCAAAAGCAAAAACAGGGCACACGAGGTACACTAGACACAGCTATAGTTCCTTTCAGGATAGGACCATTCCCAGGAGGACCTGCATTCAGACCTGAAAGCGCTGCTAGAGGCCATGGCCATTCAAGTACATGTTGGCTCTCTGTGAACTGCACTATCAGTTTAGCTTTAAGTAGTGCTCCTGTCTCTCGTTTTGCTCTAGTCTTGGCTAATCATTTAGGCCAGGAGATATTTGACTTTGTGGAAACAGCTTTGTTGACTTTAGGTGTTTCATCTCTACTTCCATTATAAGACCAGAGATGAATTGTCCAGATTTCTAGAAATATGGTTTAGATCAGTCCTTCATTAATTAGGCATTTAACCCATCTGTCCCAATGAATCAGATGTCATCTATAAGGCGTCATTTTGTCTATTCTCACCTCCTTATCAATTTTACTTGTAAAAGTAACCCTTGCTCCTGTGTTGTTTAAGTTTCTTGCCTAGCATAGTGAAGCAAACACATTTGTATAATGTACATCTATAAAATGCAAATGATAATTACAACTGTTGTGAGTTTGTAAATTTTAATTATGTCAGTTTGAATATTTCATTTGAGACTTTATAAAAAAAAGGATAGTCTTATAATTCTGTTTAGTATGGATACAGTTCTGAAGCCTATGAATATGTACAATTTTGACCTGTTCAGCCAAGAAAAGATTTACGTTGTATGATCCTGCAGCCTGAGTTAATGCCCCACTCCCCTTCCAAGACACCAGCACTAAGTCATAGGTCTGTGGTACCCTGCTTCTATCCATCTTTGAGAGAAGACCATTGGCTCAGTTATCTGACTACTTCTGAATGTTTTATTGAGGAAATAGTTGTGGTAAACGTTACTGAGTTATCCATATAAAGGAATTGATCTATATCACTTCATCTGCCTTTGGGAAGGAACAAAGTTGGAGTGAATTATGCTTCTGCTTTTGGCTGACCTGGGAACATTTCTTCCAAAAAAAAATCTGGCCTGAGGCTTTATGTTATGGAAACCTCTTCTTCCCTTTACTTCCCTTTACTTTCTCTCCCACCTAACTTCATCGTTTATTTGGTGTTTGTATCAGCCATCTTGTGTCACACAGCAATTCCCACTTCCCAGATGAGCTCTCAGGATGGCCTGCATTTGACTTTAAGACCCCTAACTCACTATATGTCCTCTTCCTTTATTACTGGGAGCTTTCTTCACTGGATGAAGGATCCGGATGAAGGAGAAATAATGACAAAGAAAGGTGATAGGTCCCAGTACACCATGAAGGACCTTTCCATGATGTCATTCAGCGTTCAGTCTCCTCAAAAATTCAACAGCTCCAGCAACTGCACCCTTCCTACCAGACCCTGCAATCTAGTTTTTACCCATATACCATTACCATGCACGTTCAGTTTGCCTTAACTCCCCAGTTACCCCCTTTTGCCTCAATCTCTTTCCAGTCACCCTCACAAATAACCTCACAGAGATCCAACCTAATCCTTCAAAAGTTCTCCAGCAACCTCAGCAATACACCGGCCACCCACTCTGCCTGACCTTTGTCCAAAATGTCTCTGCATCCCTCCCAATGCCTTTAACATTTCCAAGACTTTTACTTTTCAACAATTTTGGATCAGAATGTGTAAGCCACAAGCTGGAATCAAGGGCTATGTGAAGATATTCTGCATATATACAAAGCCACTCTTTAGGTAATTTGTATAAAAGGCACACCTGGAGCACCCTTGGAGGGGTGTGGAACACAAGTCTTATGAAGAGTGGCTGAGGGAACTGGGGTTGTTTATCCTGGAGTAGAGGAGGCTGAGGGGAGACCTTATTGCCCTCTACAAATTCCTGAAGGGAGGTTGTAACAAGATGAGTGTTGGTCTCTTCTTCCAAGTAACAAGCAATAGGGCAAGGGGAAATGGCCTCAAGTTGCGCCAGGGGAGGTTTAGATTAGATATTAGGAAATATTTCTTCACTGAAGGGGTTATCAGGCAGTGGAATGGGCTACCCAGGGAAGTGGTGGCGTCCCCATCCCTGGAGGTATTTAAAAGACGTGTAGATGAAGTGCTTAGAGACGTGGTTTAGTGGTGGACAGGTATGGTTGGACTCGATGATCTTAAAAGTCTTTTCCAACAAAATGATTCTGTGATAAAAACAACCTGGTGATGAGGTTAATAAACCTGGAAAGTGCAAAAGTTTCTTGGATAAAGATTTTATTTGGGCTGTGAAAAGGCTGCTGATGCCTTCTCGATGGCACACCTGAGGACACAATGGTGTGTGTGGGCGTAGGGAACGCTTCAGGGTTATATCGCTTCACAGCAGGCCTGCGAAGGCAGCAAAGCGGTTGTCAGAGACGGTGTCTAGAAGCGGTGTGCGCGGAGGCACTGCCATCTCGTGGTGTGTGGTGCGTGCTGGGCACACTGCCGGCCTGTCTGGATGCGTGCAGCCCGGAAAGGTAGGCCATGCACCCAACCATTGCCCCCTGCTCACAGCCAGCGCCAACCTGAGATGTTCCCCCTCCCAAACGAGATTTGCAGGATTACCAAGGGACAGCTGCAATCTACCATTAAGTTATACCAACAAGGAAAAGCTGCTTTCTCTTCCTCTAATCCCCTGCGGTCTTTTACAGAGTTTAACTCTTCAAGTATTACTTTTAAATCCCTTTACAAACTGCATGTCAACCTGGAAAGATTAAAACCAACTGTTTCAGCTGGTTTTCTTGGTGTTGTAGCAAAGACATGTTGTTAAGGGAATTGAAATTTGTCACCAAGAGTAGTTTTTTAACTCTTACTGTGTCAGTATATATTTTTCCAGAAAGCTAGATTGTGTGAACTCCGGATTAAAAGAAATCCGCCCAGCGGGTAGCTTTACCTGCTTTGCCAGTGTTGAGCTTCCCCAAAGTTGCCTAATCTACCCAGAGCTGGATTTTCAGAGCAATGCAGAGGGATGGTAGAAGTATTGGAAATAAAAAAAAAGGCCTGAAAAAAGTGAAAGGTTTCGGTGCATCTCAAACTAAGGGAAGAAATAATTAACCAGTTTAAAGTGCATTGCATGACAGAGAATGATCTTCAGGAAAAATTAAATGCTGTGATAAGAAATACTCAATGCAATACTCTTTCTGTAAAGCAAAAGTCCTGTTAAGATCACAGGTTTTGATAGCTAAATTTAGGCATCTGTATGCTGCAGCCTGTATGTGATTTCGATGTCTAAGCCAGTGGAAGTATTAGCAATACAGTTAGTGAAATCCATGAGCCACTCAAGGATTAGGGTGCTTTCCTAAAAGTGAGCACCTACATTTGGCTGGCTGTATAGCTGTCTAGACATCACTGGCTATCAATCTGGAGTTGGATTCTGTTGCATAAACATAGCTACCAAATGCCATTTGAGATGTCTTGGGGCATCCAAGACATCTGTGCTATCCTGGAGACATGATTCAGATTTTTGGACTCAACTTTTCTGGAAGAGCAGCTGGAATTCAGGCAGGACACCACACAGTTCCCAAAATCACACTAGCTACTTGCATTTAAGCATCCAGTTCCTGCTCCTGCTATTATCTGTAATGAAAGCTTGGGCGCCTTGTCGGTGTGTACGTGTCTTCCTATTCCCTCACCTTACTCCATGAACTAAACTCCACCCTATAGTTAAAGCATATTAGAGGAGTGTCATAGCTTGATTTCTTTGTGTTCAGGCTACCTGTGTGGTTACATTACAAGCACAATATGACTTTCTTGTCATCTACTAAACGCGGTGCAAAAATGACTCCTCTCCAGCAAACAATCTCAAGGCAAGTTGTGTTGAGTGGGCAAAGTTGATTGACTCCACACCCAAGATTAAAAACAGACTTTAGAAGAGCCTAGCCCAACAATGGATG